CCCTCTCCCCCACCCCCCATCCCCGCCACCTCCCCCCCACAGCAGCAGCCGCGGGAGGGGAGAGGCAGGGCAGAGGGTGGGGCTGTAGAGGTTCACAGCGGCCACCCCTTCCACGCCACCTCCCCCCCCAAGGATGGAGGAGAAAGGCGGGGCGGGGGGGCCTGGTGCTGCAGATCCCCTCCCCCCCCTTTGCTGCACCCGCAGCAGGGGGGAGGTAGGAGAAGGGAGGGGGCGGGGGGGGGGCTGGTGCTGCAGATCCCCTCCCCCCCACTGCTGCACCCGCAGCAGAGGGAGGTAGGAGAAGGGGGGGGGGGGGGGGCTGGTGCCGCAGATCCCGTGCAGCAGGGGGGGGGTAGGAGAAGTGGCGGTGCAGGAGCCGCTCGGGCGACAGCAGGTTGGCCACACCCGCCACCCCCATACCCTTCCCCCCACTGCTGCACCCGCAGCAGAGAGATGGAGGAGAAGGGGGGGGGGCGGGTGGGGGGGGGGCTGGTGCTGCAGGTCCCCTCCCCCCCCTTTGCTGCACCCGCAGAAGGGGGGAGGTAGGAGAAGGGAGGGGGCGGGGGGGGGCTGGTGCTGCAGATCCCCTCCCCCCCACTGCTGCACCCGCAGCAGGGGGAGGTAGGAGAAGGGGGGGGGGGGGGGGGGCTGGTGCTGCAGATCCCCTCCCCCCCCTTTGCTGTTCAGACTGACACAGCCCGAGCTCGACGAGCTAAGGAAGCAGTTATATTACTTGTTAGAAAAAAAAAATCATCCGACCGAGCTCATCGCCATTCGCCGCACCGATCCTGTTCACACCGAAAAAGGACGGAGGGTTTCGCATGTGTACAGACTACCGAGTAGTGAACAGGGTTACAGTTAAATCGCGATACCCCATCCCCCGCGCCGACGAGCTGATAGATCAACTGCGAACAGCACGAGTCTTTTCAAAATTTGACTTACGGGGAGGTTACCATAAGATCCGGGTCGAACCATCGGACTGTGCCAAGACAACATTTAGAACTAGGTACGGATCGTTTGAGGCGACTTTCCAGATGACCATGAACGAGGCGTTTAGGCCACTTTTAGATAAATGTGTGATCATCTACCTCGACGACATCCTCGTCTACAGTTGCGACAAGCAGCAGCACTTAGCCGATTTAGAAGCAGTATTTACAGTTTTAGACAAACACAGACTACTGACCAAGGGTTCCAAGTGCGAATTCTTCCAGGATAGGCTAGAGTTTTTGGGGCACGTCATTTCGGAGGCTGGAGTGAAAATCGACCCGAAGAAACTCGACACGGTACACGCGTGGCACCCCCCGACGAACCTCACGGAGCTGCAGAGTTTTTTGGGTTTCGTTAATTACGTGCGCCAGTTCGTCCCCGACATGGCACGCTTAACTGCCCCACTGACGGATTTACTGCGGAAGGGGGTCACTTTTACGTGGGGGGAGAAAGAGCATGCTGCCTTCTCTACTCTGAAACATGTTCTCTGTTCACCGCCCGTACTGCGCATCGCTGACCCACACCGCCTATTCGAAGTGGTTACCGACGCAAGCGACATCGCCATTGGAGCCGTACTGCTACAAGATTTCGGCAACGGTCTACAGCCCATCGCATACGAATCACGAAAGTTGCATCCGCCCGAGAAGAATTACCCGATACACGACCGCGAAATGCTTGCGATCGTGCATGCGTTCAAAGTGTGGCGTTGTTACTTGACCGGTGCCGGCGTGACAGTACGGACAGACCACAAATCTCTACAGTACCTCCGCGCGCAACCCCACCTCAACCCACGACAAGTCCGCTGGCTCGACTACCTCGAGTCGAATTTTCACTACACGGTCACCTACAAAAAGGGGGCATCGAATATCGCCGACGCATTAACCCGGCCCACAGCCCAAGTCCACGCCATACTACTCACACGGACTAGCCCACTGTTAACAGGTCTATTTACCCATGGCTATCAGACTAACCCATTCTTCAGAGGCGGAAATTCGCAGCAGATTGCAGCAGCAAAGGGAGTCTATTCCGTAAAAGCTGGCACCGATCGCATCTGGGTACCAGGCTACACACTTCTACGGGAATTACTATTACAAGAGGCACACGACAGTCACCTCAGGACATTTCGGAGTAGAAAAAACACGGCAGTAGCTACAGCGGTATTATTACTGGCCCGAGATGCTGACCGACGTACAGCGACACGTGGCATCGTGTCCCACCTGCCAAATCATGAAATCGTCACGGAAGCGACCGGCAGGACAGTTGCAGCCGATACCACCCCCAGAGCGTGCTTGGCAACAGGTGACGATGGACTTCGTCACGGGGTTACCGGCGGGAGCAAGAGGGAACGACGCGATCCTGGTCGTCGTCGATCGGCTGACGAAAATGGCACATTTCGCAGCCTGCAAAAAATCAATCTCAGCCGAAGAAACGGCCCGACTCTTCATCACAACCATCGTTCGATTACACGGGATACCAGCAGCGATCATCAGCGATCGCAATACGAAGTTTACCAGCAACTTCTGGCGGAACCTGTGGCAGCAGTTCGGCACGAGACTACAGTTCAGTTCTTCGTACCACCCCGAGACCGACGGACAGACAGAACGGACAAATTGTCAGAGGTCCACTGGTGATCCCCGATTGATCCTAGGGAAGGGTTACAGGCTTTCTATCCTGGGGGGTTATGGGCGCACTGACCCGCTACTTAACAAGCCCTTTTATCCCAATGGTCTAGTGGTTGGGGTTCTGACATGGTATCAGAGCGAAGGTCTCGGGTTCGAATCCCAGTGTGTGCACTTCGGGCATCCCAGTGCGGGGGGGTGTCAGAGGTCCACTGGTGATCCCCGATTGATCCTAGGGAAGGGTTACAGGCTCTCTATCCTGGGGGGTTATGGGCGCACTGACCCGCTACTTAACAAGTTTTTTTATCCCAATGGTCTAGTGGTTGGGATTCTGACACAAATCAGACCATGGAACAGTTAATCCGAGCCACGTGCGACGACCCGACCACCTGGGAGCAGCAACTGCCACTCATCGAATTCGCGTACAACAACTCGCCATCCGCCACGACCCAACAGTCGCCGTTTTACCTGAACTACGGACAAGATCCTACAGTACCCATGACCCCGAATCCCGACAACCCAGTACCACGTGCGCAACAATTCACAGAAATATTACAGGCAACACAAACCAGGGCAGCTGAGGCAATAAGAAAAGCCAACGTCATCGCTAAGCGCAACGCCGACCGCCACCGCAGGCCCGTCACTTACCAGCCCGACGACTTAGTTTTACTCGACACTCAAAACCTCCGCCTGCCCATAACCCCGAAACTCCGCCCCCGATATTGCGGGCCATTTCGCATCAGCCACATGATCACGCCTGTCACCGCCCACCTCCTCCTCCCCGTTGACTGGTACGTCAGCCCGTCCTTCCACGTCAGCCTGCTTCGCCCCTATATTCCATCCACCAGCCAACTGGCCCGAAATCGCCCAGCCAGCATGACACGACCACCGACCGAGCCAGTCATCACGCCCGAGAAAATTCTGAGCCACCGAGTTCGTGACCCACGAGGAGCACGAAAAGTCAAATTTCTAATCCGTTGGAGAGATCGCACGCCCACCAAGGACAGTTGGGTTCCACTGGACAAAATCGAAAACCACCCCGTCCTCACCGAGTATCTGCGCAGCCAGAACTTCCAGGATATACACGCGCTCTCGTAAGAGAGGCCTCCTTAAGGGGGAGGGTAGTGTAAGGAAAATCACATTTCCTTACATCGCGTCCCTGCTCAGCGCGTACACCACTGTTCCCGCCAACAGCACCCCACAATATCCCGTTACCACTCGCGACATTCGCCTCGACCCCATTCCCGCCACTGTTCACGATGCGACCCAACCTCACGGTTCGGTTGGTAACCCGCGCTCCGGACCTCCGCCTCGACAGTCCCCCAACCTCGGCACCAGGCCCGTTGCGCACCCCATTTCCCACACGTTACCGTTACCACTGTAGCTTCGCTATATATTATTCGCTCATTGTATTTCTTGTCTCTATAGTGCAATCCTCGCTCGATCACTCAATTGCACTCGTAATAGTTACTACAAATGGAATGAGGGGTTTACTGTAAAATCGGTTTGGTTCACACCATGGTGATCACACCCAAAACCCAGTTCCCCATGCCGCTCCATACCCATCACTAGTCAGAACAACAAAAGATAGCTGCTAAAATTCTGCAGGTTACCGCAAAGCTTTCACAACACGACTTCTAGTGGGCATGGGCCGTAGTCTGCCGAGTGTTAGAGCGTACCGTGGGTATGTGTGATTAAGGAGCAGCAAACGGGGAATGTGTGAACGCAGGCTCGAATCGGTGATCGCATTTAAACGCTCGACCCATCGAGCTGTACTTCCTTCGCTGCGCTCCGAACGTTGCGAAAGTCGCGAACGTAGCGAAAGTCGCGAACTTAGGGAGAGTCGCGACCGTGGCGAGAGTAGTGGGCGTAGTAGCGAGAGCGCGAGGCCATTCAATCCAATGCGCTCTCAAGCCGACCCTGAACCCTGCGATCGGGACTCGTTCCAACCCCGCAGAAACTCGTTTGAATCGCACAGAATTTAGTTCGAAATAGCAGTTTAAGGTGGTTCATCTCACTCTGACCTACACACGGTCAGTTTGGGCGTGGGCTCAAGGCCGTTGGCCCGCTCTGGTTACCGAGTTCGACTAAAATAGCGTTCGCCACTTCCTGGCCTACACACCGGACTATTTTGAGGCGCCTCAAAAGGCACAGTTTGGTAGTGTGCTCAAGGCCGTTGGCTCTCTCTGGTACGGCTAATCGTGAATTCCAAGTATCAAAAGCTACCTCTTTTAAGGTCGCCTCACCTTAACCTTTACACACGCAGACGGGTCGTGTGCTCAAGGCCGCTGGCCCGCTCTGCTACGCCTTCGTCGCTGTTTCGTAACGCTAGATTGTTGAGTGAGCAGACTGAGTGTGTAAGGTTAAGGCGAGGCAACCGCGGCATCAGGCGGCATGTCGTCTGGGCGGGTTGTGAAGGAGGAACCTGAGGAGGATGATTGGCGAGCTGGGGAGGAGGGGAGTGAGGAGGGGAGTGAGGAGGGGAGTGAGGAGGGGAGTGAGGAGGAAAGTGAGGAGGAGAATGAGAAAGAGCGTGAGGAGGAAATTGATGAGGAGAATGAGGAGGGGAGCGAGGAGGTGGAGAGGGAGGAGGAGGAGGAGGAGGAAAGTGAAGAGGAAACTGAGGAAGAAAATGAGGAGAAGAATGCGGAGGAGAAGAAAATCGAAGAGGAGAGAACCGAGGAAAGAATTGAGAAGGATGAGGTGAACGAGGAGGAGGAGGAAGGGGAGGAGGAGGGAGAGGGGGAGGAGGGAGAGGAGGAGGGAGAACGGGAGGAGGGAGAGGAGGAGGAGGGAGAGGAAGAGGAGAAGGAAGAGGAGGAGGAGGAAGAGGAGGAGGAGGAAGAGGAGGAGAAGGAGGAGGAGAAGGAGGAGGAGAAGGGGGAGGAGAAGGAAGAGGAGGAGGAGGAGGAGGAGGAGGAGGAGGAGGAGGAGGAGGAGGAGGAGGAGGAGGAGGAGGAGGAGGAGGAGGGAGTGGAAGGAGGGCGAGTAGAGGAACAGCAGAAGGATTCACCTCCCTCGCAGAAAGGTGTGTCACGGCGGGGGTTTTGCTGGACAAATCCCCCCAGGTTTAGGGTTCTGGGTTTAGTTCAAATCTCGAAGTTCAGGTATCTGGGTGCAGGGTCAAAATGCAAGGTTCAGGGTTTAAAGGTCCTGGTTTCAGGTTCGGGTTCAAGGTTCACAAGCCAGGGCTTGCTAATGTGGGGTTTAAGAGGTGATTTTTGAGTCGACTCAAAAAACACTTATTGTTATCAGGCTTAGGGTTTAAGATTCACTGTCCCCACCGATTCGTTTTTTCTTTCCTTCCCCATGTCCCCTTTGTGCCGATCAGAGGAAGAAGGAAGTCCAGTCCCCCTGTTCCAACGTGCAGAGCTTTCGCACTCTCCTCGCCCTTCACAATGCGGCGCAGCAGGCGCGGAGAGATAAGCCCCAGGAGAGAGGGAAAATGCAGCGAAGACGAGACGGACGGTACCAACTTTCAAACTTTGGCTGTCCCCGCGTCCCCTCCTCCTGTCTGTGTTGCAGATCAGAGGCAGAAGAAATTCCAGCCCCCCACTTCCAACGTGCAGAGCTCTCGCACCATCCTCGCCCTCCGCACTGCACCACAGCAAGTGCGGGGAGAGAGGGTGCAGGCGAGAGGGGGAACGGCGCATGGACGAGATGGACGGTTCCAGTCTTCAGCTTCGAAAAGGCCTGCTTCTGCTATAGGCGCTGCAGGTGCTGCTGAAGGTGCTGCAGGAGTTGTTGGTGGTGATGGTGATGGGCTAGCGGAGGGGAGAGGCAAGAGCGGTGGGGCTAAGATTGCCCGTCGCTCTGACCGTCCCTCTGCTGCTGCTGCTGGTGCTGCTGGTGATACTGCCACTGCCTCTCCCAGTCCCTTGAAAGAGCAGGGGCAGCAGCAGCAGAAGGGGCAGCAGTTGCAGCAGCAGGAAGGGGAGGTAGAGAAAGAGGGGCAACGAAATCGCAGGAAGAATGCAACCCCAAAAAGAGGAGGATTCGCCACAGCTTATGGTATCGCTGCTGGTGCTGATGGTGCTGGTGGTGCTGGTGCTGATGGTGCTGGTTCTGCTCATCGTCGCTCTGCTGCTGGTGCTGCTGCTGCATCAACTGCACCTGACACATCCCTCCCGCCCTTCCGGTTCACATCCAATAACGAATGGCGGCATTTGGACTATGGCAACGATCTCACCGCGCTCACTGCAGATGGGCGGCGCGGCAGGAGCGCCGCCCGCATGCTGGGGTTCCGGGGCGGCTGCATTCGTCTGCCAGCGGTGCACCGGCAGATGCTGAGGCGGCTTCTAAGGAGGATGATGTTCCGGGGGGAGGTGGAGCAGGCAGCAGGCGTGCTGGCGACTCTGATGGACGCGGATAAGGATGCTGAAGTTACGAGACGGGCTGTTGACGAGCCTATATGGCTGGAGTCCCAGGTAAGATGCAACCCTACTCGTGGAACCCTCACATCAACCGAGTGCAGCAGGCGTGCTGGCAGCGTTGATGGATGCCGATGAGGATGATGAAGTGACCAGGAGGGCTGTTGACGAGCCCATTTGGCTGGAGTCCCAGGTAAGTGGGATGTAAGGTGCTAGCAGCAGGCAGCACGGGTGCTGGCAACGTTGATGGATGCCGATAAGGACGCTGAGGTGACCAGGCTCGAGTCCCAGGTAGGGAGAAAACCCCTTGCACTGATTGAAGGAAGGTATGAGGTGCAGCAGGCAGCACAGGTGCAGGCAGCGTTGATGGATGCCGATAAGGACGCTGAGGTGACCAGGAGGGCTGTTGATGAGCCTATCTGGTTGGAGTCCCAGGTAAGATGCAACGCTACTCGCGGAACCCTCACATCAACCGAGTGCAGCAGGCGTGCTGGCAGCGTTGATGGATGCAATCCAGGTAAGGATGCTGGGGTGACTGGATGAACCCATTTGGCTATTTTTGAGGCGCCTAAAAAATAAGGATGCTGGGGTGAGCCATGGTAACGAGGTGAGTTTTGAGTCGACTCAAAAGTCACCTTATTTTTTAGGCGCCTCAAAAATAAGGATGCTGGGGTGACTGGACGAACCCATTTGGCTGGATGGAGTCCCACCCAGGTAGCCAGGCTTAAGCATCGTGCAGCAGGGGCAGTGCTGCATCTATTGACGCCTGTGTCAACCCTCTTATCCGTCGATGGTACTTTTGAGAATTCTCAAAAGTACCATCAACTTTGCCGCATCTATTGACGCCTGTGTCAGCCCTCTTATCCGTCTCCCCCCTTTCCCCTTTCATTTGTCCCCTCCCCCAGCAAGTGCTGGTGCTGCTGCTGCGAGAGTTGTGGCACAAGGGCTTCAGCAGCAGGGGCAGCAGGAGCATGTGTGAGGGCATAGTGTTTACTCTTGATGCTTGTCTGCTCTCCTCCCCCCAACCCCCCACCAGCAAGCACTGGTGCTGCTGCGAGAGCTATGGCGCAAAGGCTTCAGCAGCAGAGGCAGTGGCAGCGATGGCGGGGTTGGGGGCAGTAGCAGCAGCAGCAGTGAGCGACGGAGAGCAGAGAGGAGGCGACTGGTGGTGTTCATGCGAGCGATAGCTCTGAAGCAAGAGGATGACGTGAGTGGAGGGAACAGGAGGGCTGTGGTGAGAGTGTGAGTGGTGTAAGGAGGTATGATCATTGTCGTGAGAGGAGGCGAGGCGACTGGTGGTGTTCATCTGAGCGATACCTATGAAGCAAGAGGATGATGTGATGTGAGTGTTGTGGTGGGTGATGTAAAAGCGAGTTTTACACCCTTGGGAGGCAGCAACTGGTGGTGTTCATCTGAGCGATACCTATGAAGCAAGAGGATGATGTGATGTGAGTGTTGTGGTGGGCGATGTAAAAGCGAGTTTTACACCCTTGGGAGGCAGCAACTGGTGGTGTTCATCTGAGCGATACCTATGAAGCAAGAGGATGATGCGAGTGCTGATGGGTGGGGAGTGCCTCAATGCAGGCAGATATCGCTAGATCTCGCCAAGTGTCAAATGGCGACCAACGAGCTCGTTGCAATGCTGCCTTGCCTTCCCTCTCCCACACCTCAGAGGCGCAAGGGGCAGATGCTGCTAGATCTCGCCAAGTGTCAGATGGAGACCAACGAGTTTGACGCTGCGTCTCAAACACTGTCCCTCAACCGCTCTCAATCTCCCTACAACGTGCCATACTACAAAACCCCTCCCTCTGCCACCCCTCCTGCAGAGGCGCAAGGGGCAGATGCTGCTGGATCTGGCCAAGTGTCAGATGGAGACCAACGAGTTTGATGCTGCCTTCCAAACGCTGCAAACGTGAGCTCCTCTCTCAAACGGTCCTCTCTCAAACGCTCCTCTCTCAAACGGTCCTCTCTCTTCCTCTTCCTCCACACTTCCATTCCCAAGGTGCGCATAAAAATCCTCGAAAACCTTTTGAGGCGCCTCAAAAGTCGCTTTCATTCCCAAGGTGCTCATAAAAATCCTCGAAAACCTGCCATGCTTTTAATGGGGATTATGGATGCTGGGACTAGACCAGAGACCCTTGTGTGGTCAGTCCCTCCCTCTAATAGTGCTCCCCCGTCCCCCACTCCCTCTGCCTGCGCAGTGTGGTTAGCCTCCTATTAGAATCAGACCTTTTGAGACGTCTCAAAAGTAGCCTCCTATTAGAATCAGCCTTTAATCTCAACAGTTTTAGTGTAGTTTGTAGTTTGTAGTTTGTAGTTTGTAGTTTGTGGTTTGTGTGGGTTGGGTAGGGTAATACACACCAACATTTCAACCTCACCCACATGTGATCACCGAAATCTCCAACCCACCAATTCGAGAATTCACCCGATCTAATTGGGATTGCGCCCGATTTAATTGGGATTGCGCCCGATTTAATTGGGATTGCGCCCGATTCGCCACCCATCCATCTCTTGCACATTCTGATATACTTGCGAGCCTTGAGCGCAATACCTAATCAAGGGACTCTACCTCTGCTTCTTACACCTTCCCCCCTCCGCTCCGACCCCTCCCCCCTCTCCACTTCTGCTCGCTCATCCTGCGCTCCCACTGGCTCTCCGCCACCCAGAGGGACCTCTTGTTTCCTCCCCCCTTCCCTCTGTATGCAGTGTCGTCAACCTCCCTCCCTATCGCTCTGACCCCTCTCCCCCTCCTCTTCTGCGCGCTCATCCAGCACTCCCACTGGCTCTCTGCCGCCCAGAAGGACCTTCTGCAGCTGCCCTCCACCTCTCCTTTCCCCTCCCTTGTTTCCCCCCCCTGTCTCTGTCTTGTGCAGGGTGGTCAACCTCCCTCCCTACTGCTCCGATCCCTCCCCTCTGCTCTTCTGCGCGCTCATACTGCACTCCCACTGCCTCCTCACTGTCTTAGAAAAGACCTCTCCCCTTTTCCCCTCCACTTTTTCGCCATCCCTCTCTGTGTCTTGTGCAGGGTGGTGAATCTCCCCCCCTATCGCTCCGACCCCTCCCCTCTGCTCTTCTGCGCCCTCATTCAGCACTCCCACTGGCTCTCTGCCTTCTCAAAATCTCTCCTCCCATCCCATGCCCCCCATACCCTGCTGCCCCTCTCTGTATGCAGTGTTGTCAATCTCCCTCCTTACCGCTCCGATCCCTCGCCACTCCTCTTCTGCGCGCTCATCCAGCACGCCCACTGGCTCTCTGCCGCCCAAAAGGACCTTCTGCAGCTGCCCTCCACCTCGCATACCCACCACGGCTTCAATTCAGACATGGATGATGGGGAGATGAACATGGATCATGGGCGGATGGATGGAGGGATGGATGGGGACATGCATGGGGATATGGATGTGGATATGGGTGATGGTGGTTGTGATGGTGATGGTGATTGTGGCGCTGACGTGGAGGTTCCTGAGCTGGCGCTGCTGGACCAATGGGAGAGGAGGAAGAGGAGGAGGGAGGGGCAACCGGGTGGTGGGTCAGGGGGGAGCAGATTCAGAGGAGGAAGGGGCAAGAGGCGAAGGTACTTGAGTGGAAGAAGGGGAGAGGAGGAGGAAGAAGAAGAGAAGGAGGAGGATGGGTGGATCGAGCGGGAGTTGATGCATTTGGGTGGTTACAATGATACAAGCCCTTCTTTTGCTGAAAAGGCGTCTGAAGGAGAGCCATACGTGGCTGATTCTTGGAAGCTTCCTGTTGAAGAATCTTTTCCCGGAGTGCCCCAATCTTCAGGCCCTCTGCCCTTCAACCCTCACTTCGTTCTAGACTGTACCTTAGAGGAAGCTTGGGAGGCGAGCAGGGAAGAGGCAAGCACTGGGGTTCTGGCTGCGAGTCTGTCTAAGGCGGTTGGGGAGGGGGTGAAGGTGATGGCAGGGGGGAGAGAACGAGGCAGGGGGGATGGTGAGGATGGGGATGATGGGGAAGAGGAGGAGGAGGGGGAGGAGGAGGAAGGGGAGGGAGAAGAGGAGGAGGATGGGGGAGGAGGGGGGAGAGGAGGGAGGAGGGTGGCAGAAGAGACGTTTGCTTGGAGAGTGTGGAAGAAGGGAGGAGGGGGGGGAGGGAGAATTGGTGGAGCGAGGGAGACGAGGGAGGGGAGTGGGGAGAGTGGTTGGATGGGAGGAGAAGGGGCTGGAAGGAGAGAAGCAGGAGGGGGAGGGGGAGGCAAGGCTCCAAAATATTTTGTCCCATGGAAGTATGGTAAGTTTTGCTCGTAAGATTTGAGCATTCTCAAAGGTATTACAGTTTTGAGACGTCTCAAAATTCTCAAAGGTATTACAAGCATGTTTTATCCCATGCAAGTATGGTGCGTTCAGAATCGTTCAACATGTTGTGTTTAAAATCTTGGAAGTATGGTGCGAGTTGGGTTTGTTTTTCTCAAGCCATGTCTCTTGCCATTTTGCCGCCCCCCTCCTGTTGCCGTCCCTCCCCCTCTTCCTGTCCCTCCCTCTCCTTCCACCCACTCAACCCTTCGCTTTGTTGCTCCCCCGAGTTTCTCCTTTGCATTGCTATAATTTGCCCGAGCTTCTTCCTCCGTTTATCTCTGTTTTCCTCCTCTACAGATTCATACCTGCTCGTCCTCCCCCTCCCCCCTCCTCCCGCTCCATCTTCCACCCATTAGGCATGCCCCCCACTTCCCATTGATCATACCATGAATTAAACGCCTCCCACTCCCACTTCCCATTGAACATACCCCTTCCTTCCTCTTCCCCCTCCCGCCCCCTCCCCTCCCTTCCCTCCCTCCCCATGCAGATCTTGACCCGCTCATCTGCCCTCTCATTCTCCCTCCACCTCCATCCTCCACCACCCCATTCCGCCTGCCTCCTCTCTCTCGTCGCTCCCTCGAGCTCTCCCGAGAGGCCGCCTCCTTCCTTCTCCGCACACTGCAAGCCGATCCCCTCTGCATCCCAGCCCTGGTGCCTCTAGTTCAGGTGCGCTTTCTCCCTACCCTACCCTGCCATGCCATGCCATGCCATGCCCCATTCCATTTGCCCCCTCTCTGCTGCTGCTTCCCTCTTCCCTCGCTCCCTCAAGCTCTTCCCTCTTCCGTCGCTGCCGCTTCCCTCTTCCGTCGCTCCCTCAAGCTCTTCCTCTTTCGTGAAGAGAGGAGGGAACCATAACTGTTGTCTAACACCTCCCTCCTCTCTTCTCCTCTCCTCAACCCCCCCGCCCCCCCTCTCCTCTCCTTCCACTCTCTCTCCGCAGATTCTCTTCCTCAGGGCTCCAGGGGAGTGAGAGTGGCTCTTACATCCCCCACCTCTCCTGCATGCCTGCTGTCTCACTCATCTCTTGAGGCGCCTCAAAAGTCGTCTCCTGTCTCGCGGTTTTGAGGCGCCTCAAAAGTCGTCTCCTGTCTCGCGGTTTTGAGGCGCCTCAAAAGTCGTCTCCAGGGGAGTGAGAGTGGCTCTTACATCCCTCACCTCTCCTGCATGCCTGCTGTCTCACTCATCTCTCCTTCCTCTCCTGTTTCCTCTCTATCCTCTCATTCTATGCACACAGATCCTCGCAGCTCAGGGCACCAGAGGAGCGAGGGTGGTGTTTGATCTGCTGCAGATTTCATCCATGCCTGCTGTCTTGGCGATCTCGTGCCCCTCTTCCGATGCAGATTCTCGCAGCTCAGGGCACCAGAGGAGCGAGAGTGGCTCTTGATCTGCTGCAGATCTCATGCATGCCTGCTGTCGCACGCTCCATCCATCCATTCAGGTACTACTCACTCAGTGCGTTGTTTAATGTGGGACTTGTGCCTAAGTTTGTAATTCGGAAACCTCTTACATCAATTCAGAAAGCTAATTAACCCTCTCTTTTTTTTACCTTTCGAATTTCTCAAAAAAAACTCTTTTCTCACACGTCTTCCTCCGTCCTCTCCCCCTGTCATGTAATTTTCTTTCCATATGCCTCTTTCCCTTCCCTCTCCCTCCTGCTTTCCTTCCCATGTGCTTGTCCCTCTTCCCCCTCCCTCCCCGCTCTCAGGATCCGCGCCTTGCTGCTACAGTGCGTCCAACTTCAGGAATCCCCCCTACCCCCATCCTCCTCCTCTCACTCCCTCACTCACTCCCTCACTCACTCCCTCACTCTACTGCAATGTCATCTGGAGGTACTTCGGCTCATGCCCTCCTGTGCCCATGCCATGCAAGGCGTGCTGTCTCTGGGTCTACAAGGTGAGAACTAGATTTGTGACCAAGTGAGTGAGAGGGAGTGAGGGAGAGAGTGAGGGAGTGAGGAAGGAAGTGGGAGGGCGAGGTTTCTCGGTTAATGCCCTCCTGTGCCCATGCCATGAGGCGCGTACTGTCTCTGGGTCTACAAGGTGAGAACTTTAGCTGTTGCCGTCTTGTGCCCATGCCATGTGCGGCATACTTTCTATGGGGCTAGCAGGTGAGATGAAAGCCTGAAGAGAGGGAGTGAGTGGGATGGGGGGAGGACCATAGTTGCGGTTTCTGCCGTCCTGATCCACATACCATGCAAGGCGTGCTGTCTCTGGGGCTAGCAGGTGAGACGCGGCTCGCACTCAGATGGCCCGTGTTGTCATGACACTTGTTGTCAAACAATGTACGTTGATGGTGTATAGTGCACATTTGTGTGCAAGAGTGTACGCTCTCCTTTCCTTCCACTCTCACTATCAGACACTCTCTCCATGCATCACCTTATGATGTCGTGCCTGCCTTACTCACTTCACCCGAGCCCTCCAAACATTGAGTAATGTACCCCCCCTCTCCCTTTTCTTAAGCGCCCTCGTTCTGTTTGTGTCCTATAATCCGCGATGATGTGGCATGACGTGATGATGTGGCATGAAGTGATGGAGGGAACGAGGGAGGGAACGAGGGAGAGAGAGGGAGAGCAGGAGGGAGTGATGGAGGGAACGATGGGAGCACCTGGTATATTTTTGAGACGTCTCAAAAAGGAGCACCTGGTATACTCACTTTCACTCACTTTCCCTCTCTCCTCATGAGCACTCTAGCACCGCATCTGGACGCCCTTGGTGCCAGACTGCTAACCCCCGTTCCCATCCATTCTCCCCTTACACAGGCGCATGCGGCCCCTCTCTCCTCATGAGCACTCTAGCAGTGCATCTGGACGCCCTTGGTGCCTGCTGCTGCACTGCCTGCCTGGTGGGAAGGGAGCACCCGTCTCATCTCCTTGTGTCACGCTCGTCCGATACAGGCAATCTTGGCCCGTCTCTCCTCATGAGCACGCTAGCAGTGCATCTGGACGCCCTTGGTTACACTCGCAGTCGCTCACTATAATGTTTCCCCCTCTACCCCCATACAGGCACATGCGGCCCCTCTCTCCTCATGAGCACTCTAGCAGTGCATCTGGACGCCCTTGGTGCCACCAGCAGCAGTGCGCAAACCGCATGGTGGGGGCTGGCAGGGAGCATGAAGGCTGTGTGGCTCTCAGCCTTTGCTGGTGGGGCTGGGGCAGGGGCAGCAGCAGGGGCAGCTGTGGTAGGGGAGAGAGATGGGGGAAGGAGAGGGGGAGTTGCAGCGAGAAAAGAAGCAGCAGCGAGGGAAGCGAGGGCGAGGAAAGTGGTGCTGCAGGTGTGGTGGGAGAGGAGGGAGCGGTGGAAAGCGGTGCAGTTCGGTATCGGGCATGTGAAGAGGCAGTTGAGGCTCATTGATCGGCTGCACGGTGGGTGGTGAATGTGTGCAGTGTGAAGGGGATGCACTCGGTATTGTGAGATGTAACATATGCACACTTGAATTAAGCAGTACGAAAGGGAATTCTCTTATACACTTGGAAAACATCTTCATTTTTTTTGCACCCTCCCTTTGACACCCATGCAGAAAGTAGAAGCCACAGCCCTGCAAAGGAGCAGCTTCTAAAGAGGATTAAGGCACTGCTGACGTGGAAAGCCTCGGTTTCACTTCTTCTGTACAGCTCTCACAACAAGAACAGAAGCAATAACAACAGCCACGACAGCAACAGCAACACTGTCCATAACAGCAATAACCGTAACCCATATGCAGCCACTGTAGAACAGGGCATGCGGAGCTGGCCAGCCTCGTGGCATGAGGAAGTCTATAAGGAGTACAAAGAGATTGCGATGGCCTTGCCTCCCATGCCTCTGTGGCAACCATTGGCAGCAGCTGGGTGGCAGAGGGTGGAACTGGGAGACACATTGCTTCTGGACATGTAAGGGAAAGTGTAATGGATGTACCGGTACCAGTAATGAGTGTTACCATTGAGTAAGTGTACCGTTGTTACAAAGAAATCGCCATGGCCTTGCCTTGCCTGCGTGGCAACCATTGAAAGCAGCTGGGTGGCAGAGGGTGAAACTAGGAGAAATACGGTATTGCTTTTGGATGTGAGGGATGGTGTTTTGGGACATTGTTAATAGTTGGTGGACGAGTGCCACCGACCAATTCAAGAGGGTTCTGAATACAAATATAATATCTAGCAATTGTTGTCAAGCTTTCTGTGTTTGCAGAGAGTTCAAATCGCAATGATGCTAATGATGCGGTTATCATGTCACTGCATCTGAAATGATGGCGGAAATCGCTCTAGTTGGACTTCAGCGAACTGCATTTGAACACGCGTTACATTTCTCGCGAAAATGTTAATAGAGGGTAAATCCACAAATCGCCGTGCCAAATCCAAGCCCCTGGGATTTGCGGGTCAACCAGGCAGATTCCCTTCAGTCGTCTGACTGGCAGGCCATTTTGCACATCAGTCTAGCCTGGCTACTGACAAATAGTATCTCTCACCTATAGTATCTCCAACAGCTCATCTGTCCGTCACTTTAGGCAGCCGCCGTGAAATCGGACGGTCGAGATGCCGAAGCTGGTGCTTCACGGCACGGCGATCTCGCCGTACACGCGACGCGTGATCATGACGCTTTACGAGATGGGAGTGGAGGTACGAAGATTAAGAAACTAGCGAGTATATCGACAAGCGCATTTGCATGATGAAGACGAGTAGCATCGCGCTGAACGATACGGGAATGGAGTGTGTGAATTGAGCGGGGATTACCAGTAATCCAGCCGAGAATAGAAATGCACGTTCGCATGTCTGGAACGTACAAGATAGGAGTGATTATGGCACTTTACAACATGGGAATGGAGGTTTGAGGATTAGGGTTAGCCATTGCGACGAGGGGAGTGCGTTGAGGACTGGAAATAGGCATTCACAACTGCAATGAGGTGAAACATACGCCTTCACAATGGCACGATTGTATCGTCCACTTATGCAATCATGATATTCTTTGTGTTCCCTGCCGTCCATGCATCTTGTAACCCTATTGTACAGGATTTCGTGCACATACCAGTCAGTCCACTCACAGGTGCCACCAAGACACCCGAGTTCCTCAAGATACAGGTGAAACTGTACTGTTGGCCTTCGTAGTTCCTGCAGAGTGGCTTTCAAGAATGGATTTTTTTCCTGGCAATTCTTCAACTCCTAAGACATACGTGAACCTACGGCTGAGCGAAGATCTTGAAGATGCAGGTGAGTGAAAGTTATGGCCGTTGGATCTTCTGCTGAGTGTGAAGATCACGGGCGTAATTTGCTCAGGCTCAGGTGACTTTCCAGTCATGCAAGTCCTGTCAGTTGGTCCTTTGATTCGAACCGCCTCAAAACTGTTGCCATTTCGAAGAGGAAACTTCACTTTTGCATTTTTCAGCCTCAGTAGCTCCCTTCCCTTCCGGTGACCTTTGAGTCAGATAAAGAAGCATCCTTACCTTCACCTGGCAATCGGATCGCCCTTCTTATTGGTGTCTATTTGCTCTCTTTCTTTTGTGCGCCTTCCTGTCTTTCAGACGCCGATTTCCGAGTTTAGCAGTGTTAGAGTTTCGCCATTCTGTATTGGTTCATCCCCCCTCATTCCTTTTGTCCACTTCCCTCCCACTCTCTCACCTCACTTCTTCCTTCAAGATACACCATTCACACAAACCGCATCTCTTTCATCCGTCTCCCCCTCTACCATCCCTCTCCACTTCCCCTCCTCGCCATCTCCTCTCGCTCTCCTTCGTCCTCCCCAATCCTTTGTGCGTCCTCAGCCCTTTGCGCGAATCCCTGTGTTAGAATACGATGGGCGCGAATGGCATCGCTTCCATCAGTCTCTTCCTCTCCTCTTCCCTTTCCTTCCTCTCCTGTTACCCTCTTCTCCCACTCCTTCGTCCTCCCCAATCCTCTGTGCGTCCGCAGCCCTTTGCGCGAATCCCCGTGCTTGAGGATGATGAGCACGTCATTCATGGTAGGTCATTCATGGTAGGTCATTCAAACATCAATCATAATTCAACTGATGCAAGGCACACCTGCGTGGTTGCTGTTGTGGGTGCCTCATATCTGCTTTCCTTTGCATGAATCCCGGTGCTCGAATTGAAGACGAAAGGCATGTCATTCACAGTAGGTCAATCATGAGCAGTGATTCAGGATCAACCATGGGGGCGTCATCAAACGTACCTTGAATTCCCTTGAATACCCTGTCATCCGTTGTTCTATTATCATGTGACAGGTGCATCTGCGTAGGAATATTATATGCATACCATTTTTTTGCGTCGATATATAGAAATTGCCTGGTAGTCTTTCTGCGGGTGAGCCACGTGCGCAAGCAAACCAGTTAAATTCCCCCATATGCCGTTCAGAGCCTCTCCTGTCACAATTAGACACGGTTTGCCTCCCCTCTCCACATTGCTGATTTCCCTCATTATTCATTACCGTTGTCACGCACAAGGACCAGACCAGAACCTTTTGCCTGCATCATTGCCGCTCTGCCCCTTCCAGATTCCCACATGGCTGTGCTATACAGAGCGGACAAATTACAATGAGCTGCCTGTGTTCGTCCCAGACCTGCTTCCCATGTTTGCGAAGCTCAAGGCTTAGACTCTCCCGTTCCATCGTTGCTTCCATGCCTCTTCCAGAGTCCCGCACGCTCATGAGATACATTGCGGACAAGTACAAGGTCCGGGGCCCAAACCTCCTAGGAGAAACATTCATGGTCGGTTGGGTTGGGTTGGGTTGGGTTGGGTTGGGTTGGGTTGGGATGGGTTGGGTTGGGTGGCACATTTGCATGTAAGTTGAGAGCGTGAGGGCACGTTTCATTCGTCCTTGTGTGGCATGTGTGCATTAAGGCTTTTGAGGCACCTCAACAGGAGCACGGATACACGTTATCCCTGTGATGGTTTGGTGTACGAGAAGGTGTTCAAGCCCCCGGTCGGTATGATACATCCACTGCCGCTATTTCCTGTATGCACTGTCCCTCTTGCTGTGGTTTGAATCCGTCCCAGTCTCTACCATGCATCAGCAGCCGCTCTCCTATGCACCCTCCCTCTCCCTCTTGTGTTCTCTCCCATGAAAGGGAGCCAGTGATGTCGAAGGGCACACCTCCTTGAGTGAATACAATTCGTGCGATCAGAGTACTTTTAGCCGGGGAATTTTTACTCTCTTTCTTACTTGCTATAGCTTTTCTCTAGTGCCGCTGCCCTTCCACCATGAGTGACGATCTCCCATGAAAGAATATCGGGGAGGGATGCATGGAAGAGAACTCAGCAGGTGGAGCCGTATGAATTTTAGGTACTTAGGTTTCTTGTGCAGCTCCACCTGAATTTTTAACCCTAGGGTGGTGTGGATTTATAGGATGTCTGGAATGTGGGTTTTCTTAGAGCTGGCAGGGGAATGGGGAGGATGAATGGTAGAGGCACAATTAGAAACGCTGGATGAGGGGAACGGACAACTAATACAAATTGGCTACAAAAACAACACTGTATAATATACGTACACGTAGAATCATCATGTTCGTCCACCTCTCGGCCAAACACTCGTTGCCTGCAGCCCTAGTAGCGAGTATCGAGACCTATCACTCCTAGGTCCGAGGTTAAAAAACCAGCCAGACAGATAACCTCGAACTTCCGTCGCTTATTCATTAGTAGCTATCATGGGTCGGAGGCGGGATAGGAAAGCGAAAGGCGTTTTAGGAGGCGGTGGGCGGCGAGTGAAGCTCGATCTATGGGGATCGGAGCCGGCAGAAGGTTCGTTCAGGCTTCGTGTTTCTGTTTAGTAGTTGGCGAGACGAGCAGTGCTCGTGTGTCGTTCTTTCGACCAAGTCTTACAATGGACGTCCGCTTATGTTTATCACTCTATTCTGTTTTTGTTTGCAAGTTTCAACGAGTGGAAATGTATTTCTGTTATTCTCCAGGTTAACAAACGATCGCCTCGTCCCGTTGCTGTTCGCAATACCTTACTTTCCCTCTTCCTGTAGTCCATTATTAGATTCCTCGCGGGTTCTAGTCATGCAAGCGAATTAAGTATTCTGCATGGTTCGTCCGTAAAAATGTTAACTATCCCTTTATCCTGCCAGATGCACATGCGGAGGCAAATCAATCAGCCGGGGAAGAGCAGATTCCACGCGAAGCTTCCCAGAAAGGGGATGGCGATCAGGCAGCCTCAAGATTGCCAGCAACTTCTGCGCTGACGTCATCGTCGGCAGCAGCAGCTGCTGCTGCTGACGGACCCTTGCCTTCTGTAGAAGGTGCGTGGAAGCTTCGCTTCCTTCCACTCCTATCGTGAAACTATGTGCAATTTGTGGGATCGTGGAAGGTTTATGTGCGACCGTCATAGTCGCATGTAGTGTCGCCAAGGCAACTTGTGCGACGATCAGACGCACCCGAATGAGGGGAGATTTTCAGGCGGATATTTTTCGTCCGAATCACAACTTGCAACGATCTGAGGCCGCACATGCATCAGGGGATATTATCAGGCGGACATTTCCGTCTGATTATGATTGGAAGACGTCTTTTCACACTTGCAACCAGGGAGGTTTAACTACAGGCCTGGCATCTTGCCGCGCACATTGCCACGTCATCAACCGCTTCACCATTCAATTATCACTATCCAGTTTATAAACACGGGAGCTGCAGAAACTACTGCGGGTTGCTGCTGCTGCTGCTGCTGCTGCTGCTGCTGCTGCTGCTTCGTCTGCTGCTACCACTGCCCAGCCTCCTCCTCTGTCATCGCCCCCTCTTCCACGTCTGTTGCTACCACTACACGCGGCGAATCCCTGGCATAGCGCCCGCTGCATCGGTGGAAGCGACCGCCTAGCTCTCATTACAAGCACAGTGACTTACCTCTAGTGACAGGGTGAAGGGAAGGGAAAGGCGAAAAGGATACGAGGAGGAGAAGGAGGGTTCGTTGGCACGGTGCAATTCGGTGCAATTCGGTGCAGTTGAAAGTCGCAGGTTCAGTCCAGTGTTGCACTGGAAGAAGAACCGGTGCATCTCGCTCGTGTGACGTGACGTGTCTCAGCATCTCAGCAGATTGGATAATCAAACGGTAGGTGCAGGTTTGTGTCCTCTCCTGTGGCTTCCTTTTCCCTCTAAACAACACGCCTGTTGACCATTGACTGATAACTACATATATGTTGTGTAGACCAGGCTGATTAAAAGACATTCCAGGTTCTGAATCGGTCACAGTGGATGCGACATGTGTCTTATTCCGGTCTGGTCAGCCCTTTTACTTAACTGTATGTACTGTGTAATTAACATTTGAGTGGTGTGAGTGACAGGTTACATTTCCCGAACTTCCGTGTCGTTGGGGGTAAAAGCCAATACCTCAATCTAGACGATGTGGAGATTCTTGAATCGTTTGGGTGGTGAAGTTCACGGTTCTTTCTCTCCTTTCTGCCTTTCTGTCTCTGCCTCTGCTTCCTGTTGTTCTCCCTTTCCCTTGTCGTCTGTTACTCACTACTCTCCTTACTCCCTCCTAGGCACCAAGGCACCGGACCCGCTCTCGCTTCTAGGAGCGTATAGCGATGAGGAGGATGAGGACGGGGAAGAGGAGGAGGCGGAGGGGGGAAGGACGGAGGGCGGAGGAATGGAGGGGAGGAATACAAGCAAAGCGGAGGAGGGGAATGCGGTGGAGATGGATGATGAGGTAAGTGCGCCGGTGTGCAGGAGTAACGTATGTGTGTACGCGTAGCATAGGTGTGTACGAGTACGTGTAGGTGTATACCTGCTGGTTTTTTCCTGCCAAGTTGAAGAGGCATTCCTTTCAGGGCGTCTCAGGATGGTCGGTTGGTACCTACCTCCTTGAAGAGACGACTTTTGAGTCGACTCTAAAGTCACCTGCGGGTGTTTTCCTGCCAAGCTGAAGAGGCATTCCTTTGATGGTATCTGAGGCCCTGAGGATGGTCGGTTGATACCTGCCTTGAAGAGACATGGTTGTAACGAGATGATGAGACACTTGGGAGGGTAGGTTGGTTGAGTTGAGTTTTACGACGTGACCTTTTCCAAGTGGCATAATGGATTGACTCTCTGAGAATTCTCAATCGTCCTATGGCGTGACCTTTGAGAAGTCTCAAAAGTCGACGTGACCTGTTCCAAGTGTCACACTGGATTGACTTTCTGAGAATTCTCAAATGTTTTGTGGCGTGGCGTGACCTTCCAAGTGTCATACCATACTGTAGGTTGACTTATGCGGTTTTATTAAAGTCTATAGCATGACCGTCCAAGAGTCGCCATGCAACCATGTTATAAAGTGGCGCCCTTGCTTCGAATTTTACGATGCCTCAAGTTTTGCCCCAAGAAAAGGCACTTCAAAAACTACCTTAAATTTGGTGGATTAATTCTCGTCGCTCTCTCTTCCCTCTTTGCTCCCTCTCTCCTCTCCTCCCTCACTCTCCCCTCCTCCCTCTCTCCTCCCTCTCCCTCCCCTCCTCCCTCTCTCCTCCCTTTCACACCCCCCCCCCATATTTCCTCTCCCCACCCGGTAGATGCTCGCATTTCGATCGGATTGGAAAGAGAGCGGCCCTTTCCTAACTCGAGTCAAGAAGAAAGCGGTTTTTTTGGACGAACAAGGAGTGAAAGCTGGAGAATACGACTCAGAACTTTGACCTCTTCTTACCCTCGCTCCTCTTCCATTCCCTCCTCCCCGTCGCAGTTCTCCTCTCCGTCGGATGCTCGCATTCATGTCTGATCGGAAGGAAAGCGGGCTGCTGGACGAGCAAGGAGGAAGGGAACACAACACACAGGAGGAGAATCCGCACTCTTATCGTTTCTTTTCTCCTCCCTTCTCCGCGCCTCAGATGCTCGCATTCATGTCAGATCTGAAAGAAAGCGGCCTGCTGGACGAGCAAGGAGGGAACACACAGGAGGAGATGGAGAGCGAGGGAGAAAAGGATGGTGCGAAGGGGACCGCGGGAGAAATGGAGGGTGAGAAGGTGGGTGTGGAGGAAGAGGCTGTTGGGAAGGAGGGTGTGGAGGGAAGGGGAGGGGGGAATATCCAACAGGAGGGGGCGATCAATGGCGAGGGGTTAGAAGAGGAGGGGCAGGGAGGGAGAGGAGGGAATGGAGGGAAAGGAGTGGGTGGAGGGCCAACAGAGGCAGAGAGCGAAGAGGAAAAGCAGAGTCGTATTGGGGAAAACGCTGAGAAGCAGGAGGGAAAGGAGACGGGTGGAGAGGAGCAGGAGGGAGAGGGAGAGGAGAGGGAAGGGGTGGCAGGGGAAGCAGGGGTGGCAGGGGGGCAGGCAGCAGATGATGAGGGGGTTGCTGTTGCTGCCCCCAGTCACTCGCATGCAGGGCGCCAGGGAGCAGATGGTGAGGGGGAGAAGGATTCGTTTGCAGGTGCTCCTTCTAGTGTGCGGCAAGCTGTGTTGGAGCCAGAGAGTGGGGAGTATTACTACTGGAACACGGTTACTGGGGAAACCTCCTGGTCGGTTCCTGAAGAGCTTGTGCAAAATGAGGCTGCTGGGGTTGAGGTGGGGACGTTAGAGGGTGGAGAGGGTGTTGGGGAGAGAGTGGGAGCGGGTGAGGGAGATGAGGAGGTGGGGCAGTGTGAGGGCGAGAGGAGGGAGAAAGGGGAGCAGAGAGGGAAGGAGGGTGGGACGGAGGGTGGTGAAGAGGGTGAGGGAGCGAGGAGGGGTTTTTCAAGGGAGAGAGGGGAGGAGGGTAGTGGAGAGCGAGAGGGGGATGTGGATGAGGTGATGGGCGGTCAGGGGGAAGGAGATGAGATTGAGAGGAGGGAGAGGGAAGCGGAGATGGAAGGGGAGAGGGAAGGGGAGAGTGAAGGGGAGAGGGTAATGCAAGAGGCGAAGGTGGTGCGAAAGGAAGGGGGGATGCAAGGGTGTGTGGACGAAGAGCGTGGAGAAGAGCATGTGGGGATGGACGAGGAGGAGGCTGGTGAAGGTGTAAGTGAAGGTGAGGGACAACAAGTAGCGGAGCGCCACCTGGCAGGGGGTGCTGCTGACGTGGCACGCGCCGGTGCCATGGCAGCACTGCTGCAGTCCTTGCAGGAGCAGGTCGACTCAGCAGAGGCTGAGCTGGTAGCAGCAGCTGCTGACGTGGCGGATAAGACTGGTGACGCTGTATCCAGGCTGGAGTCCTTGCAGCAGCAGCTGGCAGCTGTCGAATCCAAGCTTCCTCCTCCCACCCTTGTCTCCTCCACCTCTCCACCCTCCCTCCCTCCTATCTCACTTTCTTCCTCGCTTTCCTCCTCCCTCACATCCCTCTCCTCCTCTCTCACTCGCCTGCAACTAGAGGCCTCCATCCGTCTAGCTGATTTGACTTCCCTCTCCGACCGATTTGCTGCTACGGCTGTAGCACAGCTTCCCTTAACTGGGTCGCCACAACCTGGTGTGCTACAGCAGTGGCAGGAGCTGCAGCAGCGGCTGCTACAGCTGCGGCTACAGCAGGGTTTGCAAGGGGGGCTACTGGTGCTTGTGGGTCATTGCTTGGAGCAGGTGGGCCGAGTGGAGGGAGAGAGTGAGGAGGTGCGGGGGAGAGTGGAGAGAGTGAGGGAGCAGTGGGAGGAGGAGAGGCAACGGTGGGAAGAGGAAGAAAATCAACGGCGGGAGGAAGAGGAGGAAAGGCAACGGCAAAGGGAAAAGGAGGAGAGGGAAAGATTGGAAGAGGAGGAGAGGCGGCTGAGAGAACAGGAGGGGCAGGGACAGGAGGAGGAGAGGCAACGGCAGGAAAAGGAGGAAAGGAATGAGAAAGTGAGGCGAGAAGCAGCGGAGAAGGAGAGAGAAGCGGGGAAGCAGGAGGGGCGCAAAGGTGTGGAGAAGGGTTGTGGTGCGATGTGGAAGGGTATGGAACAATACTCAGCGTCAGAGAGTGGTGAGATTTCACCACAGAGAGAGGAGGAGGGAGAGGAGGAAGTGGAGGGAGGAGCAGGTAAGCAGGTGGTGAAGCAGAGCGGTGCTGATGGGTTGGGTGGTGTTGACGAAGATATGGATGTTGAGATGGAATTGGAAATGGGGGTAGAAGGAGCAGGAGTAGGAGTGGGGGCAGCAGAAGGGACAGGCTATGGAGCAGGAGGAGTGAAGGCAGCAGAGGGGTCAGGCGATGGAGGGGTAGGCTATGGGGCAGGAAGACGAGTGGATGGAGGAGAGGCAGGGCATTCGCCTCTACCACCACCAGCATCACCACCACCACCTCCTCTCCCTCCCTCCCCTCCCCCGCAACCGCCGCAATCCCCCCCTCCCCCTCCCCCTGATGCGCCTGAACCCTTTCCCCCTTCTGCTGAAGCTCCTGCTGCTGATGCAACTGCTCCTGCGCCTGCTGATGCAACTGCTTATGCTGCTGACGCCGCTGCTCTTAATGCTGCTGTTCTTAGCGCTGCTGCCAGTGCTTATGCTTCTGACCCTGCCAATGCTTCTGCAGCAGCAGCGGCAGCAGAGGCAGCAGCAGCAACAGCAGCAGGAGTAGCAGCAGCAGGTGACTGGCCATATACAGCCCCAGTAGCACCATATGCCTACGATCCAGCAGCAGCAGCAGCAGCAGCAGCAGCAGCGGCAGCAGCTTCAAGCTATGATCCGGCTGCTGCTGCTGCTGCCTGGGCGTCCCATTATGCTGCGTATGCAGTAGCAGCAGCAGCAGCAGCAGGAGAAGCAGGAGTAGCAGCAGAACCGCCAGCAGGATACACAACAGAAGCAGCTTATTATCAAGCATACTCGGGCATGTATGGTTACACTCCCACCTACCCTACTCCTACCACCGTTTCGTCTGCCCCTGTAACATACGCTTCTGCCCCCACTGCTGCTACAGCCACTGCTGCTGCTACATCTGCTGCTGCTACATCTACTGCTGCTACAGCCGCCACTGCTACCCGCCGGCCTCGTGTTGTGGTGGCAGCACCAGCTTTAGTGAGGCCAGCAGTACCAGCAGTAGCAGCAGCAGCAGGTGGTGGTGATGATGGTACTGCAGCAAGAGAGGAGCGGGAGGCATCAGGCATCGGAGCAGTTGAGGGGGACAGAGACACTGCTTCTGCTGCCCGTGCTGCTACCGCCGCTCCTTTTGCTGCTGCTGCTGCTCCTGTGGTTTCCACGATGGAGGCTGTAGCTGCTGCTGTTGCTGCTGCGAAACAGCAAGCAGAAAAAGGTACGTGTGCTTGGGTGCAATTTTCTCCTGCTGCTCCTGCTGCTGTTCCTGCTCCTTCTCCTGCTGCTGCTGCTGCTGCTGCTGCTGTTCCTGCTCCTTCTCCTGCTGCTCCTGCTGCTGTTCCTGCTCCTTCTCCTGCTGCTGCTCCTGCTGCTGTTCCTGCTCCTTCTCCTGCTGCTGCTGCTGCTGCTGCCGCCGCCGCTGCTGCTCCTGAGGTTTCCACAATGGAGGGAAAGGTACGTGTGCTTGGGTGCAAAAATAGGAAGTGTTCTGTTTGGTTATCTCCTTTTGCCCACGCAACATTTTTTTTTTGTGATCTCGTTTCTTCTTTCATTATTGTTCCTCCTTCCCTTCGTCGTTCCTTCCATTCCTGCCCTTTCTCCCTTATCTCCTCACTTCGTTCGGCTATGTGCCTCCTCGCATCTCTCTTCATCTCCTTGCACCGCTTTTTGTCTCCTCATACCCCTTCTCTCGCATCCTCTAGCTATCCTTGCTAGCTAATACTCTCCTATCGTTCCTGTCTTCCACCCTCTCACTTTCCTTCGCAACCTGCACGTAGCAGCAAAACCCAAAAGGGGGCCAGCAGTGACAGGGGAACATCCACCCACCCACCCTTACGCTTCCACATTCCCTCTTCCCACACCCCCCCTCCCATCTCCTTGTGTATACGCATCCCTTTTATGTCCTTCCACCCTCTTTCCATGTCCCCTGATACATACCTGTTCTCTCCTCGCTCCCACCACTTCTCCTTTCAACCCCCCCTCTTGCATTCCACCTGTGCAGTAGCACTGTAGTAGTGGGAAGAGAAACAGACTCTGGGCTTCCCCAATTTCACGAGGACGCGGAAAACAACTTCCCCGTGTTCCGTTTGCTCCGTGAGCTCTTCACCTTGGCGGCCATCCAAGTCATTTCGGCTGCGCGACCTCTTCCAGCCGGATATCGATCGCACACATATGCTGCAGCGTGAATGAAGAAGTGTTTTGAGACGTCTCAAAACACTTCTTCATTCACGTACCTCTTCCAGCCGGATATCAATCGCACACATATGCTGCAGCGCGGAAAGCAGCAGCAGCGGAAGCAGCATATGTGTGCGATTGGGATCCGGCTAGAAGAGGCCGTGCAGCCCAGGTGACTTTTGAGTCGACTCAAAAGTCACTCCGGCTGGAAGAGGTCGTGCAGCCCAAACGACTTGATGCCCGCCGAGGCGAAGAGCTCACGGAACAAACGGAAATCGGGGAAGTTGTTCGCCGCGTCTTCGTGAATTTGGGGAAGTCCAGATATTGTTTCGCTCCCACGTGCCTAGTGAAGGGGGGGCAGATGCGAGCACACATCTCCTTCCAGTCTCACATATCCCTCCTTGCTTCTCCTACCGCTGTATTGTCTCCTCTCACCGCTTACCACTCCTTTAAACCCCCAATTTGACCCGTATAACAGCAAAGCCAAGAGGAGAGCAACAGTGAGGGGGGCACATGCAAGCACGCATGCACGGATCCCCGCTTTCATCTTCCATTTTCCTCTTTGTCTCCTCACACTCTCCGTGATTCCCTGCAACTTCTGAGCCGCCACAAAAGTAACTTCCGTATGCCTTAACCTGTCTCTGCACACTCTATATATCTTCACACGCTGCCCCCCTTCCTGTTTGCTTTCCATTTTCATCAGCAAAGCCTAAGAGGAAAGCGGCAGTGGGAGGGGCGCATGCGACCAAGAAAGTATCTTCCCTGGTGAACAAGGTGAGATTCTTTGGGATTTGAGGCACCTCAAAAGAGGGCCACATGCCTTCTGGGGCACCTCAAAAGAGGGCCACATGCCTTCTGGGGCACCTCAAAAGAGGGCCACATGCCTTCTGGGGCACCTCAAAAGAGGGCCACATGCGACCAAGAAAGTATCTTCCCTGGTGAACAAGGTGAGATTCTTTGGGATTCGTTTGTTGTGAGAAGCTCATATGATTGGTCTGTTTATTATTGCCCTTCTGGCAAACCTTCCCTCCTCCTTCTCGTTCTCCGGTGTTGCTTCTCCTTCTCTCGCTCTTTCGCCCCCTCCGCGCCTGTGGCTGTGAAATTCAGCCAAAAGAAGAATAAGACTAGGAGAGGATCGGCTTTTGAGACGTCTCAAAAGTCTCCTTCGCCCCGTCCGCGCCTGTGGCAGTGAAATTCAGCCAAAGGAGAATAAAACTCGGAGAGGATGGGCCGGGAGGAAAAGGAGGAGGAAGTGGAATCGGCAATCAATGCCCGCTCGATCCAGACATAGCTCACTGAGCCTCAATCAATGTCTGGATCTCGAGTGGAATCGGCAATCAATGCCCGCTCGATCCAGACATAGCTCACTGAGCCTCAATCAATGTCTGGATCTCGAGTGGAATCGGCAATCAATGCCCGCTCTTCCGTTCAACCGTCTTCTTTTGCTCTATATTCTCTTCTGCTCCCTCTTCTCTTCCCTTCGCTGTGGCAGTGGAAGGCAGCGAAGGAGGAACTTGACGAGGAGAGGCAGAGGCGGGAGCAGGCCGAAGAGGAAGAGGGAGTGAAAACGACAATTTGAACCTGTGACAGTTCCCTTCTTTTGCTCTCTCTCCTCTTCCCTCCGCTGTGGCAGTGGAAAGCAGCAAAGAATGAGCTTGACGAGGAGAGGATGAGGCGGGAGCAGGAGGAGGAGGAGAAGGAGCGGGCCTTGTACGATGGAGAGGTGATTGGGAAGAAACGACAGAAGAAAATCGAGGTGAGAGGAAGTGGGGTGGGTGGGAGAGAGGGTAGAGGGTGTGTTTTTCAGATAGATCCGTGCTGGGTTGGGAGAGGGAATGGGGGTTGTACGATGGGGAGGTGATTGGGGAGAAGCGACAGAAGAAAATCGAGGTGAGTGGTAGCAACCTAGCAGGGTAAGGGGAGGGAAGGGAATACGTGGGTCTACTTGGGATTGGGAATGGTCCTTGTATGACGTGGGAGGTAATTGGGAAGAAACAGCAAAAGAAAATCGAGGTGAGGGGCAGTGCAGGGAATGGAAGGGAGAGGGTGTGTTAGTCCAATGTCTGTGTTTGGTTGGGAAAGGAAACGTGCCTTGTATGACAGGAGGGGTGGTCGGGAAGAAGCGGCAGTGGGAAAGTGAGGTGAGAAGAGATAGAAGTGAGGGGGGGAAGGGGTGGGGGAGAGGACGTTGATGAAGGGAGGGGTGGTAGGCGTGAGAAGAGCGGGAGGGTGGAAGGGGGTTAAGAAGAGTGAGAGGGTGGAAGGGGGTTGAGATGAGTGGGAGGAGGGTACAAGGGGGCTGAAAAGGGGAAAGAGCAGTTTTTTTTTTTTTTTTTTTTTGCACTTCCATTTGTCTGCAGCAGCAGCTGCAGACAGGAGAGGCAAAAGGTTTGAGGCGTCGCAAAATTCATGCTTTTTGCTTTGATCAGTCGACTTTTGAGTCGACTCAGAAGTCACCAAAGAACATGCTTTTTATGTTAATCCGTCGGTTGTTTTGCCTCCAGGAGTGGAAGCAGCAGCAGCTGCAAACAGGAGAGGCCGAGGAGAACGCCAACTTCCAACCACTCGCAGTCGACTGGTGAGTTTCCCCCCCTCCCCCCTTTTTTTGTATTCTTTCCTGTTTCGGTTTTTTATTAAACCTCGAGCTAGACTTGGTGGCTGGCTGATTTTTTTTATCACATCCCAACTACTCGCTGAATTCTTGTGAAACTGATTCTTCTAGGCCGCTACTTCTGTCTAACACAGTCCAGCTGTATGTTGGGAAAGGCGACAAGAAGAGGTTTTTTTTGTCTTATTTTTGTCGGGGCCTTATTTTTGTCTCAGGGATTCTACTCTATTGCTGACTTACCCACCGAACAGGCGAGGGCGAGTGAAGAGGGCAAGAGGCGCGAGTCAAGCTTAGGGTGACTCGTCGCTTTTGAACAGTGCTGGTGATGGTGCTGGTGGTGCTAGCCCTGCTACAGCCGTCGCTACAGCCGGCGGTGCAGCCGGTGCTAAAGCTCGTGCATATCCCTGTTGTTGCCCCATTCCGATCCATTGAACAGGCGCGAGCGAGTGAAGAAGGCAAGAGGGGCGGGTCAAGCCCAGGCTGACTCGCCGCTTTTGAATGGCGCTCATGGTGCTGGTGGTGCTAGCCCTGCTACAGCCGCTGCTACAGCCGGTGGCGCAGCTGGGGATGATGAGCATTCAAGACCGCAGGTCGGCGGAGCAGCAGCAGCAGTGGCAGCGGCAACAGCAGCAGTGGGGGTTGGAGCGAAGAAGAAGCGCAAGGGGCCGGATCTGAAGGCTCTTTCTACTGGGCTGCCGGCTGGTTGGCAGGTGAGATGCGGTGATGGCAGGTGAGTTTGTCATGATTTGCAGGGTGAGGGGCCAGCAGCAGCAGCAGCAGCAGTGGGGGTTGGAGCGAAGAAGAAGCGCAAGGGGCCGGATCTGAAGGCTCTTTCTGCTGGGCTGCCGGCTGGTTGGCAGGTGAGATGCGGTGATGGCATGTGTGATGCGGTGCTGGCAGGTGGTATTATCCGAAGGGGGAACGAGGTACTGGGAGCAGCAGCAACAGCGGCAGCAGCAGCAGCAGTGGGGGTTGGGGCGAAGAAGAAGCGCAAGGGGCCGGATCTGAAGGCTCTTTCTGCTGGGCTGCTGGCCGGTTGGCAGGTGAGATGCGGTGATGGCAGGTGTGATGCGGTGCTGGCAGGTGGTATTATCCGAAGGGGGAACGAGGTACTGGGAGCAGCAGCAGCAGTGGGGGTTGGAGCGAAGAAGAAGCGCAAGGGGCCGGATCTGAAGGCTCTTTCTGCTGGGCTGCCGGCTGGTTGGCAGGTGAGATGCGGTGATGGCAGGTGTGATGCGGTGCTGGCAGGTGGTATTATCCGAAGGGGGAACGAGGTACTGGGAGTAGCAGCAACAGCGGCAGCAGCAGCAGCAGCAGCAGCAGTGGGGGTTGGAGCGAAGAAGAAGCGCAAGGGGCCGGATTTGAAGGCTCTCTTTGCGGGGCTGCCGGCTGGCTGGCAGGTGGGATGCGGTACTGGCAGGTGATAATGCGGTGAAGGCAGGTGCGTTGTGGTGCTGGCAGGTGATAATGCGGTGAAGGCAGGTGCGTTGTGGTGCTGGCAGGTGAGTTTGTCATGATTTGCAGGGGGAGGGACCAGCAGGAGCAGCAGCAGCAGTGGGGGTTGGAGCGAAGAAGAAGCGCAAGGGGCTGGATTTGAAGGCTCTCTCTACTGGGCTGCTGGCTGGTTGGCAGGTGAGATGCGGTGAGGAGAGGTGGCCTGAGCACATGTTCAGACCTCTGGGAACTGGTGGGCAGGTTCTTAGGTGTGCAGGTGTTGTCCTGTTTCCCCAGTACATGCGCGCTCTTCTCTTTCATAGAACTGGTGAGTTTCTTCTGGTAGAGATGGGTTCTGTGCGTTTGTTGCCTTGAGTATGAAAGGAGTGATGCATGTCAGTCAGAAGCTTGCATTGCATCGTCGTTCACGTTTCAGATGGGTGAAGAGTGGTGCTGCTGCGTGTTTGCGCCCAGGCTAATATGCTGAGTTGTTTGGATGTGAATCGTCTACCATCGCTTGTAGGCTGTTGCGGTTGGTCTGGTCCCCGTTTGTGACTCCATGGCGAATGAAGCTAGTGCTTCTTATTGTGCAGACTGCCATGAGTTGAAGGTTTCGGGTTTCAATCCGTGCGTAGTCTTCATGGAACCCATGGGTGCTTTGTATCTTAAACTCGATGGTACGGTATTGGGTGCTCTGTGCATGCTCCTCTTCCCCACTCTCACTCACCCCCCTCTCCCTGACTCTCCCCCCCCCCACCCCACCCCACCCCCTCTCCACCTGTTTCTGATGGGTTCCAATTCAGGCGTTTTTGGATCCCCAATCAAACGAAGTGTATTATGGCAATCTTTCCACCAATGAGACATCATGGGACAGACCAGTCTAGCAGCGATTTTAAGTTTCTCAGTGATGCTCCAGATTTCTCAGATTTCTGAACCAGTACCTAATTCTTCTAGTGAGCAGGGTGTTTGTAACTGCTGCTTAAGTATAACGAGATGTACATTGCAGTATAGCTGAGCCTTGCCAAATGTACATGACAATAGTTCATGCTATCTACACCAACTTCGTGTCGTTAAAACCAGGGTCTCAAGTAGACCAAGTGCTTTGCAGTCGGTGGAAGAAGGGCCTGTCTGATTGGTGTACAAATTTGGGGCCAAAGTTTAGTCCAATCGAGACTCTCAAAAGAACCCACTTTTTGCCCAAGTGCTTTGCAGTTCCATGGCCAACCCGTACATGAGACCCTGGCTTTAAGTATACCACCACAACCGCCTCAAGCGAGCTTTACTCGAAACACAACGCAGAGCCTCTCATAAGGGAAGTATTGAACACCCATGAAATCACCCTCGCCATTGCCACTCGCGCCTGAACCGCCGCCGAGATTTGAGCCGGATGGGCCATTGTTTGTACCCTTGCCGACCTTAGTCTCCGTCCCGTAAAGATTCAGCGTAGCGGATTCGATTTGAACGCGAACGAGCGCGCCGTCTTTACCCGCAGCGTCGGTGCGGAACGTTTTTGCCCACTCGTTCCCGCTGTTTCCAAGGCTGCTGCTGTCGAGAATCTCTTTCATCAGTTGTCCGTTGTACACTAGCACATTCGAATCGTGAATCTCGAACACGCCATCTGGTAACTGCAGGGGAGCGTCGTCGGATAGTGTTTTCGCAACTTCCGGGGAGCAAACCAGCGCAGATTCGTTGGCTGTAGCCTCCTCCAAGTCTGTACCGCCAACGATCGTCACAATATCGGATGGAGTTATATCGAGTGGTGCGTCGGTCACCAACGCAGGGAGGGTGATGGTTGGAATCGCGTCCATCGACTTGTTGAACACGAGATCGCACATCGCGGAGGGTTCAGGGTTCGAGCAGGCGAGGGGGAACGGGGCGGAACCTCCGCCGCCGCGGGTCTGGGGGGGGGCTCCGGGGCACGGCGCGCTAGCGAAGGCCTGGTTGCTGGGCGCATGCTTATTCACGGGTGATTCGAGCATGGACCGGCCGCGAACGGACGGCTCAGATGCGGGAGCAGAAGCGGGATTAGCTTTAGTCGTGTCGAGCGTCGACCGCCGCGGAGAATCCTGGCCGCCTCGCAGCTGGCGGCTCATCATGCTGCGGCGCCTGGATGGCTCGTAGTATGCTGGGGGCGGTGCGGGTGCGAACGCGATCATGGACCGGCGCGGAATGGTAGTAAGAGTCGCTCCGGCGGCTGTTGACTTCGAGTCACCTTCGTTTTCAGTAGTAGTAGTACCGATCGGAGTGTCGGTGGCGGCTGAAACGGACGAATCCGTGCTGGTGATGGATGATGTGGCGTCCGCGGGTGTAGCTCCGACGGCGCCGGCGGCGGGCGCGGCGGTTGCGGTTGACTCAGTCGAAGTTGACTCTGTTACCCGCTTTTTGGCCGCATGGTGCGGCGGTGGTTGCGCCGCGACGCCGTGATCCGTCGGAGCGAGGAGTACGTCATTGGAATTAGCAAACGCAGCGAGCAGTTTCTTGTCGTTCGACGGCTCGATTTTAGAAATTAGGTGCTGTTGGTACATGTCCCTCCACGTGGCAGCAGCGGTTTCATCACTGCGGCCTGTTTCGAAACCCAGCTCAGCCTTGAGATTGTCGAAGCGGTGAAACAGAGGCTTCAGCAGGCGACCTAGGAGAGATCGTCGAGGGCGAGAAGCCGGGAGAGCTGTGGCTGTGGGGAGATGATTGAGTAGAAGCGCCGTGACGAGAGGCAGGAGAAGCACAATAAGGAGGGTACACTTTCTCGCCATAACCGTTTTGATGAAGGGGCTGTTTCTATGGTTTTGAATAAGTTAAGGCGATGTTACTGTCAGATCGCTGCAATCAAATGTTTGCCTGTGATGGTCGAATTTGCTGACAATATCAGCTGAATAATTCACGGCTGAAGGGCTCGGATTATTTGGCAGTGAAGAGGAATGAGAAACAATTGAAGTTTGCAGAGTGAGGGAATTCCAATGTTGGTGGATGATGGAAGCACAAGAATTTGGATTGGAGTATTTCAACAGCTGCAATGTTTGTTCGACGAATCGCATCCCGAGCGGTGCGTTTGAAGGGCTTGATTACCGACGGCTGAGATCGCGTGCGTGAAGTCCAAGCGTTGAATGTCGCGGTGTCGCGCTTCGGATGATCTGAGGAGGGTTGACCAGGTCTACCATGCAGTCACAGGCTATCGCACGTCTGTCGTCCTCGTCACTCTAGGCCAATCGTACGGACTAAGAGTTGGTTTGTAGGGTGGATGGAAGGTGGTAGGCATACATACCACGATCGCATCTGACCATGTGCGATCCACAGTCAGTCGCATGATCTGTGTTGTGGAGTGGACTCGTCGTTTGGCGGTGGGACTTTCGTCGAAGGGTATTGAGAGTGGATGGAAAGCTTTCGAAGAAATACTCCAGCTCGGACCGACCAACCCACTCCATGTCGGTTCGTTGTACACGTGTACAGTAGTCGACAGAATTCCGGCCGTCACAGCAGTCCCGCGGGGCATGCTTCAAACTTGCGAATCGGTCAGCCGTTTGAACAAGTGCCGTGAACGGTGAGTATACCGGTTTGCAAGAATGTGGGACGGCCAAGAATGATATCGCGAATCTCTTGCGCGACATGTTGCAACAAGGTGAGACCGTGCGACCCGAACATCCCAGCGCAAATTGGTCGTCAGAACCGATTTGCCAGTGTCGTCGAGAGGGGTCGTCGGAGCCGGGCCTGACGAGGCGGACAACAGACGCGCGTGCGGGCCCGCCAGCCTGGCCCAGGGCCGGGCCGAGCGCACCGCCGCCTCGCAACCCCCCTGCGTGATTGAACAGCGCCCCACGTTACCGGGTGGGGGCAGCGAGCTGGCGAGCCCTCGCGCGAGGGAAAGTAACCCTCGCTCAAAGGCAGCCCTCCCGTGCCTGCTGCCCGCGACGTCCTAGTGACCCTCGCGACATGCCCGGACGGGCAGGCGAGGGCCATGCAAAATTCGGGTGCTCCCCTTGGGACGCTCGACGATTTCGCGACCCGTTGCGGTGATGCCACGGGTTCGCACGCAAGTTCGCATCGGGTGCATGCGAAATTTCGAACCCGATGAAATTGGATTGCTCGCATCGCGGCGTAGGGTTTTCGCGATCCGCTGCGAAATCGACACGTGTCGGCCGAAACGTCGCACCGCGCGCATGCGAAATTGCGTCCCCTCGCCGAGCGAAGCCAGGGGACGCGAAGTCGACGTGCTGGCTCAGTGGCGAAGAAGCACTTGTGCCACTTGTGCATACAACCCGCCAAACCCTGCCGAATTAGGCACCACGAACCCTGGGCGATGCCTCAACCGGCCTGTGGGGCACCGACTCCCTTTTCTTGGTGGAAGGAGGCATAGCTCCTCATTTTTGGCATCTCGTTTCTCTTTCAACATTTTTCCCATCTCTGCGCCTTCCTTACTCCCACATTCTCGTCCCTTAGCCTGTAGTCACTTCCCTTCCCCGCCATGGAGGCCGACCCGAAAGCCGGCGAAGCGGCGCCGACTTCGCAGGACTTCCCTCTGTATCTCGACCTCGGTAGTGGACTCACTGCCAAGCTCGAGGAACACGACTACGCCGTCCTCGTAGACCATAGGCTAGATTTCAACGCCCGTTGCTTGGGATTCGGCCTCAAGTGAGTGTCCGTATGGGGATGTCGTGAAGGAATATATTAGAGAGCGTAGCGATAACGAGAGAGTTTCTGCTATGAGAATGATGTTGCTTCAGCAACTTGGTAGAGTTTCGGTAGAGTTTGCCTCTAAGGACTTAGTGAGGATTGAAGTAGCAATTGGGCCAAGTAGAATTGCAATATCAATGTATAAAAAGGCAAACACACAACTAGATATAGGCTACGGGAAGGTTTCACAAAGTTGGCATGGCACTGCGCAGTAACCCAACCTCACGAAAGTGGTGTGCAAGTGTGTTGAACGCGCCTCGTAGGAGTTCAACCCAACTCAGCAGCGGAATGGCCCTTCTCGCACGCCACCCCAACCAACCAACTCCAACTAGGCAACACCACACAAGACAACCATAGACTTGCTAGGAAGTGGCACGCTTCCCAAGAAGCGTGCCCAAGACTTTACTAGACCAGCAGCACCCCAGCACGGACTTCATTGGCACTGCAGTAGTCGCCCGACATCAACGCACTCCTTGTGTTGGTGTCACTCCATGCCCGTCTTAGCGTAGTTGTCGTGCCAAGTCGTCGAGGGCCCTTGCTGTCGTAGGGCCCTCTAACACTCCCCTGCCATACTACAGCAAGGCCCTTTATAATCACAGGGCATGCATACACGCATACACACCAAAAGAAAAGGGACACACACACAAACGAAGCACTC